AATTTTATTCCTTTTAGGAATAAACAAAAGCAGCCGAGCTAACGCATCTCGAGCTTGGAAAACGAATGGCACTGGGATGATGATATGCAGAGCAACATTTGGAATAAATAGATTTAGATTTTTATTGCAATCTCTTAGATTTGACGATAAAAGAACACGGCAGCAACGAAGGGCTACGGATAAATTGGCACCAATTAGGGAACTTTACACCAATCTACATGAAAATTGTCAACGCAATTATTGCCTATCAGAATTTGTAACAATAGACGAAATGTTACACCCGTTCCGAGGTCGCTGTGGGTTTATAGTTTACTTACCTGATAAACCTGGGAAATACGGTATCAAACTCTATGTGTTAGCAGATGCCAAAACCCACTATGTCTTTAGATTTGAAATATATTGTGGGAAGCAACCTGACGGGCCATTTTCAGTTTCCAACAAACCAATGGATATAGTGAAACGGTTGGTATCAACCATTCTGAACAGCAATAGGAATGTCACAGTAGACAACTACTACTCAAGTTATCAGCTAGCGATATATTTGAAAGAAAATGGACTCACCTTCATCGCAACAATGAAGAAAAACAAACCCGAGATTCCACCTCAATTCTTGCCCAATAAAAATCGGGATGTCGGGTCTTCCATTTTTGGTTTCCAAGACGACGTCACATTAGTTTCTTACGCTCCGAAAAAAAATAAAAGCGTAATTCTTATTTCCACAATGCACGACGAAGGAGAAGTAGACGAGGAGAATGGAAAACCAATTATTATATTAGACTACAATGCGACAAAAGGAGGTGTTGATGCAGTTGACGAAAAGTGTGGGAATTATTCGACTAAAAGAAGAACCCGGAGATGGCCGCTTACTATGTTTTTTAGATTTTTGGATATAGCGGGAGTAAATTCCCATATTATATATGTTGGCAATCACATGATGACTGCTGAGAAACCAAAGACGAGGATGGATTTTCTAGAGTCATTGTCTTTTAGCCTTCTTGAAAATCACCTAAAAGAAAGAGCTAAGATAGCCAACCTTCCGCAGGATATAAAAAGTTTTCTGGCTAGATATCAAGATGTCCCAGAGGAGCAAGCGGTTCCTGACCAAAGAAGACGAGGTCCATGCCACGAATGCGGAAAACACAAAAATAACACAACAACCGTACGTTGTACCGAGTGCACAAGGTTTGTTTGCAAAAACCATTGTGAGAGATTTTCAAAATGTAGATCTTGTATTAACGATGCAATGTAGTCTTAATTAAAAAAAAATAATTATAAATTTGTTTCCCAATCGTTTGTTTTACTAACTATTGATATTTTGCAAACATACGAATCAGTTTTGGTATTAATATTTCGCACTGTACCGACGAAACGGTTAAAAGTTCAAATGCGGTACGCAGTACCGCGCGCGTGTAGAGAGATCTGAACGTAGAGCGCGTGTAGCTAAGGGTTAATACAGGGTGGTTCAGTTTTTAATCGGGAAACTTTACTAGGACGTACTACTTGTCAAAATAACACAACTTTTTTATATAAACATAGGGTCGCAACTCTTTTGTTTTCAAGCTATGAGCTGTCAAAGTTGAGCCAAAAATTTACATTTTATAAGTATGTAAACCATAGAATTTGAAATTTTGTATGTATGTACTACTGGTTAATATCTTATTTTCAATCATACCTTAAACTTCCCTAGCGCCCTCTAAGGGGATGAAATTCACAACCCCTTTGATTTTTTTATAACAACTTTTTAACGCTATGGAATATTAACATAAAAAAATATGGGTTGTAAAGCTTATTCATTATTGGTACTTTCTTGTCTCTTTAGTTTTTCCTTAATGTTAAAAGTTTTAGCGTAAAAAAAAAATATGCTACCTTGTACTGTAAAGCACTGCTATTATTGAAAAATTTTTTGTCTTTATAGCTGGCTATGGAAGTTGTGCACTTACTAGGATCTAGTACTAACTAAATAACACCAATTAATTGTGATTTTCATAAGAAAAACTATAAATAAGATTAATGCCTGTCTGAACAAATTACGTTGTTTTAAACAATATTAGCAAATTGATACTCTTGCTTAATAACAGTCAAAAATTATTAATAACCATCACCAATTATGAGGATTCACTGTAAATGAAACTTACAAGTTCTCAGAGCCAACTTTTAGAATAATTTTAGCTCACCATGGCGGCACATAGCGGTGCATGGCACGATATTTTATTTTTTTACACGGAAACTATTAACTTTAAGAAAAATACTAAAGAGACAAAAAAGTACCACTAAAGCAAGCTTTACAACTCATATTTTTTTAGGTTAATATTCCATAGCATTAAAAAGATCTTATAAAAAAATCAAGGGGTGGTGAATTTCATCCCCTTAGAGGGCGCTAGGGAAGTTTAAGGTATGCTTAAAAATAGGGTATTAATCAGTAGTACATACATACAAAATTTCAAATTCTTCGGTTTAGTGATAGCCGAAATAAAAAATAAAATGTAAATTTTTGGCTCAACTTTGACCGCTCATAGCTCGAAAACAAAAGAGTTGCGACCCTATGTTTATATAAAAAACTTGTGTTATTTTTGCAAGTACTACATACTAGTAAAGTTTCCCGATTAAAAACTGAACCACCCTGTATATTTAAGTTCAGATGTGAACTGGGTGATATAACTCAGATAACGAATTTGTCGAGGAGTTTTTTCGGTTTTTGAAAATATTGAATTAATTAAAGGTTTGTGATCAGTGAAAACAACGAATTGATTTCCATGCAGAAAATGTTTAAAGAACTTTATCGCGGAATAAATCGCTAAAAGTTCTCTGTCAAAAGTAGAATAATTAATCTGGCTTGGAGTTAATTTTTTAGAAAAGAAAGCTAAAGGTCGTGTTTCGTTGTCTGAAGTTTGAGCAAGAACTGCTCCCATGGCACTATTTGAGGCATCCGTTGTTAAAGAAAGCATAGCTTGGGGTGATGGATGAGCAAGGATGGCAGATTTAGCTAGTTCATTCTTAGATGTTGTAAAAGAAATGTCGTGTTCAGTCGACCAAGTTGATATTAATTTCTGTTTCTTGGAATATAGGGTATTCGATAAATTATATAGAGGACCCAAAATGTTGGAAATGTTAGGAATGAACCTATGATAGAAATTTATCATTCCTAAAAACCTTTGCAATTGTTTCAATGTTGTTGGAGTTGGAAATTCCGAAATTGCGGTAATCCTGGACTGAGAAGGTCGGATTCCTTCGGCAGAAATTTGATGACTTAGAAAATTTAGAGAAGTTACACCAAATACACATTTCGAAGGTTGATTGTTCTAAATGTTTGTAATGCTCTTCCTCGCTTTTACTGGCAACGAGGATGTCGTCCAGGTAAACAAAGAGGAAATGCAGCCCAGAAAGCACTTCGTTAATAAATCTTTGGAAAGTTTGAGCTGCATTCCTCAGACCAAAAGGCATTCGAGTAAATTCGAATAAACCGAAAGGTGTTGTTATTGCGGTTTTGGGGATGTCTTCTTCTTCTATAGGTATCTGATGATAAGCCCTCACCAAGTCTATTTTTGAAAAAATTTTACATCCATGTAAATGGAGGTTAAAATCTTGAATATGTGGTAAGGGGTACCGGTCAGGGACTGTGACATTATTCAAGTGTCGGTAATCGCCACATGGTCGCCAATCGTCAGCGTCTTTTTTCGGAACCATGTGTAAAGCGGATGCCGTAGAGGAAGAAGAGGGCCTGCAAATTCCAATAGAAACCATGTACTCGAATTCTTTTTTGGCAATATTGTATTTTTGTGAATCTAATCTCCTGGGACGACATAAAGGAAGGTGTGACTTTGTTATAATCTTGTGAGTGGTTGTGTGTTGAACAGGTGTTGATAAATGTGGTGTAGATGTCAAGTTTGGGTATGAGTTGAGAAGTTTTGTATATGCAGTTTCAATAGAAAAATTTTTTGGGGTTGGTGTATTAGTATTGACAATAGAACCGATTGAAAATAATTTTGTTGTTGAATCAACTAATCGCTTGTTTTTAATATCAACTAAAAGATTGAATTTATGAAGGAAATTAGCGCCAATGATTGGGTTTTTAACATTGGCGATAGTAAAAATGAAAGGAAAATTCCTTCTTAGATTTAATGAAACTGTTAGTTGTTTTTTGCCGTAGGTTTTAATTGTTGTACAGTTGGCAGCGGAAAGCGAAGAGATGGTATCTTGTTTTCGATTTGAATAAAATTTAAAAGGTAATACAGAAACATCGGCTCCAGTGTCAATTAAAAAATTTAGATTATTTTGGTTGTCGAAAATGAAAAGACGCGAACTTGTAGGATTGATTGAAAATTGGGATTGCCATTTTGGCGAAATTTGGAATTTGGAAAAAGATGGTTTTCTATTGAAACTGGGTATTAGTTTTTTGGGTGGGACAAATTATTTGTTTTATTGTTGAACGATGTGGAAAATTTACACCAAGATCCTTGGCATTTCTCCGCCCTATCAGCGAATTTATGGTGATACCAACATATATTAGAAGGCGCAGAGAAGTTTGACCTACCACGCGAATGTTGGGATGAGGAGCGCGATCTACTTCTGGAGTGATGGCAACTACGACAGCATTGGGGGGGTATATTGTTGTCATCACGTTTGATATTTACTAACGACATTTTATCTTCTAGAGACGAAAGTCGTTGGGATAAGGCTTGAATAGTGACTGAAAGGTTTTGAAGAGATGCTGTTATATCTTCTTGGGAACGAGTCGCGAGAGAGGAATTAGACGAAATTTTATGAATGTCGGGTATGTAAGTTAGATTGGGTGAAGTTGAATTGGGTGAAAGTTGCAGAGCTTCCCATATTTTGTCCGCAATTGACAAAAGGTCAGCAACATCATTTTTTCCAGAAGATAACAAAGCAACTGATATCACCTTCGGGATTCTTTTTTGCCAAAGCCTCAATAGCAATTCTCTGCTGACTACCTGTGAACCGCCGGCGACGGTAGTAGCCAACATTGATCTATAAAATTCTGACGGCTTTTGATCTCCCATTTGAGAATTTGACAGTAAGTCATCGAGACGTCTCTCTTCACTCAAAGAAAGTCTGTCAATTAAAATTTTTTTGAGTGACATACAAATTATCTACTGGGGGATTTTGAATAACGTCTAAAATTAATGAGATGACATCGTTTGGAAGATGAGTTAGAACTAAATGATATTTTGTTTTATCGTTTTGCAGCCGTGACAAAACGAATTGTGATTCAATAATCGTGAACCACGCTGCTGGATTTGAAGTCCAAAAAGGCGGTAAAGTAAATTTTGTAATAATGTCCAAATCAAAATTGTCGCCGATAGTAGCATCCACCACTGTACAAAATTATATTAATAATGAAAATAAAACTGTTGGATGTTAAATATGACAATTGATAAAGAATATAGAATGTAATTCGCTGCTTTTTCGTTTAAATTTTCTTAGTTACGAAAGAGTAACTAGAGCGTTACACAAACCGTCTTCCACGAATCCAAAGAAAAATTATATAACGGGTCGCAAGTATATAGGGGCTGCAAGACACTTTCTTAATGTAGCTGTAGCAGCGAAGGGGTTGGAGCAACTTGGTTGGAGCTTAGGTCTGGGAGGTGAAGTTAACTGGTCTTCTTGCTAGTGAAGAGAGGCTGGAGCGATGTGGTTGGAAGTGTCCGGGTTAAAGGGTTGGACACAGACTCAAATTTATTATCGGGTGCAGGTTCAATTCAACGGGGTCACCAATAAAGAGTAGTAGTTTATATAATTTACTCTTTTTTAGAATTAAAATACAAGTTAGACGTTTCGTCTTTTTGAATGTTTTTAATGGAATAAATCACGAATAAATTTACATCGAAATCAACAAAAATTGTAACATAGGTAATTTATGAAAATAAGGTAATTTGATAAAAGTTATAATTTCTATGTGAAGATAGGCTGTGTACGCTACAAGACGTTTATAATTTTTTTCAATCTTAACTCAACCAAACTAACATTTTTTTTTCGCAAAACTAACTCCTTTTATTGTTTGATTTGTGACTTCTATAGTAGTATGATTAAACTTTGTACAAATGAATCACATACAGTACGCGTCATTGTATTTAGTTTAAAAACTTTTATCATTCTTAGATAACATTGATAAAAATCACCGTTTTCCTGTTAAAAGCTAAAATGTTAGGATTTAATTAACACAAAAAAAATCTAGGTCGGCCATGACAATTGACAAACGAATTCATTGACAGTTGTAAACACGCTTAGTCG